CCCTCATTCTACAGCCACCTCTGCTTATTAACACGTTTTAAATTTTTTTCTAAAAAAGTTATCGCTAAGCTGTAACTTGGTCATTTCACCTCCTCTCTGTCCAGTGGGCTGTTTAGCTCTGCTCTGTGGCCAGAGCTGCGGATGTGGCGGTGGCCACGCGATGGGCACTGCAGCAGGTGACTCTTCTCAAGCTACTGCCATCACCGTGGGCTCTGCGACCAGGCTCGCGTGCTGTCACGACTTGGGGGGGATAGGTGTGCAAGCCCGCAAATGAAAGGGAAGCTGCAATTCTTACTTTTGGCAATCTCCGCACTCGATCAGCCCATTGGTCTCCTTGATGGCCGGCTCGTACACAAAAACGGGGTACTCGGTGTCGCAGGGCTGCAAGGTGTCGTGCTTCTTGTGCTTGTGAGCTGTGATGGTAAGGAGACAAGGTGAGAAATGAAGGGCAGAGGATCGTATAGGAGCAGTCTGCACTGAGATGGAAGTATTTAAGACTAGCGATGTAGGTTGGAGCAGCAGCCCTGCATCCCCCCTGACACTGGCCAAGAGCAGGTGCCTACCAGAGAAGGAGGAGAAGGAGATGCTGCAGAAAGCAGCCAGGCAGTGATCCCCGGTCCCACTAGGTGGTGTGGGAAAACCGGCCTATGTGAGAAATGTGCCCAATATTCCCACTCGCCTCCCTGAAGCAAGCCTGGACCCTGCCCTGCTGAAGCTGCAGCCATGGGGCCGCAGTGGCCGCAGCACCCCAGGGACGCCCATGGCCAGTTACACAGGGGCATTTGGGCACCGGTACCCCCGTGTTCAAAGGAGGGGGGGTCTACCAAACCAGCAGCATCAATAAAGTCCCTCCTGCCTAACCCAGCCCTGGTTCACGCACTTTTTTAAACAGTCAAAGCTGCAACTGGGTCAGTCCTCAGTGCCCGTGCTGAGGGATCTGCCCCTATGCGGACCCTGTGTGTCTGTGGTGGGGTTCTCCATCAACCGCTGATCCTTCCCAAGCCCTCTGACATTTCAGAGCGAGCCCACAGCAGGCAATCTGAGGGGCTGAATATGTGCCACGTAAAAAAGAAAACACTGCCAGCAAAGCGATCTGGCCTGAGAGCACAGGGAAGCAGACGACGGCTCTTGAGGCCCAGCAGAGACCCAGCTAACGTGTGGCGCTGGCTCCTGGAGGGAGCCGTCCACCACAGAGGCAGGGAGCAGCTGTTCCATGGCTCATCAGTCACACTCTGTGGGACTCCCAAACTAATCTGGGGATGGCGGGGAGCTGGACTGCCTTACTGAGCCTCCCTCAAAAAGCGAGGGCATCCTTTCTAGGTGTTCAGTGAAGTCTGCCTTGCCTGAAACTACTGCCTTGGGCCCTTCTGGCAATTATTTTCTGCAGTTGGAGGTAGCAAAGTCAGTTCCTGCCTCTGTCAGACACAGGGGAACGTCGCTGATGGAAATGTGAGGCTTTGTTGCTAGGGGAGAGGTGGTTGCGGCTCAGGCAACAACAAGTATGAGAAGTGGTTCCTACACCAGCTTTGGATCTGAGCACAAAAGACTCGCTCCACAGCCCTCCACCCACACAGCGGCTGCAGGCAGCCCTGCCGAGGGGACGGATAGAGAAAAGAGTCCTTCTGATGTGGAGGACGACCAACTTATCCCTTGCAGCAGCAACACTGAAGATTTATAGAAAAAAATGCAGCAGCATGGGTTTTAATCAGTAAATGTATGGTAAGAAGGCACCAAGAGGGCATCCATGATCCTGATGGGTAATTTGCATCACTGTAAAACCCTCACTACTGAGAGCTATGGTGTCCTCTCCCCTGACACTGCCAGAGCACACAGAAAGAGGCAGGCACTACCCCGCAGAGCTTGCTGTCTAAACAACGTGGCTTACGTGAGAGAGAGAAAAGCCGGATGATTTTCTCTGGTTTTTCTCTCCACCATGGCGATCCAGCGACACAAGACATCCATTTAAGAGCCAGGAGCTGCAGCCCAATCTCCCCTCTAATGCCTTCCCCAGGTGAATATGATGGGTACTCAAACACATCCCTGCAGTCCAGAGTCCTCCGCAGCTGTGCCTTGTGCTTTTCTTCTGAACTCTCTAAAAATGTCATTCACAAGGCAGCCTCCTACTTAAATCCTCCCAGATAGTGGGACTCACCTTTCAATATCATGGTTAGGTTTATTTTGCACAGATCCAAAAGCACACAAGGCTTGATTTCAGCATGATGCCTTGTCCTGTATTCACCCTGAATTCACACTAATTAATCAACTAAACTCGTCGTTTCAGGGTCCAGCAGCAACTCTGCTGCCAGCCAGGAGCTGCCTGCCTGTGCTCTGTCACTATTCACTGTCCCTCTGTGCAAACCCCACGCTGCAGCAGCATGGAAAAGCCTCTCCCATCTTTGCTAATGGAGAATGGCTCTGCCTAGCACTTGTCACGGGGACGAACAGTCCTGAGGACATTCAGGATGAGCAGAGGAAGACCCTATTACTGAGGTGAATTTCAAAGGCTTAGACATTTCTGATGAAATACACAGAATATCCCCATTTATGTTGAAAGGAGAGAAGCTGCAAATGCTTTCCAGCTCAGACCAGCTCCAGGGCTGGTAAGGGGATTCTGGCCAGTGAAGTCCCTGATGAACTAATGAGTGTGAGGAACAGAGCGGGAACCCTTCCTTCAGCCTTAATTCACTGTACTAGTGGCTGGGAAAACAGCTCCAAACTCTGAAACAGGTGGCCAGACTATCGTAGGCTGGGCCAGGGACAGACCTTCTTAGGGACGCACTTGTGGCAAGACCGCGCATTGGTCCCTCAGCCATCAAAGTCCTGGTGTGTTATGCCTGGACTTGCAGCACTGAGTGACTGGGGCTGTCACCGCAGCACAGCTGGCGGCAAGGGACTGTGCCAGTTTTTGCTCAGAAGAACAGCTGTGATGACCACAAAGGTGACCTGATGAAGTTGGGGCACAACTGCTTGCAAGAATTTAGCGTATTGCTCATGTCAGAAGTGGCAAAGGGTCCTGACACAGCAGAGACTTCATCCAGGTCCTCATTTTTCCCCTGTCCCTGGCAAAGAATGACATTCTCCACTGGCTCCAGCTTCCTGATGTAGTGTCATCAAAGCGAATGGAGTTAAAGCCATATAAAAAACAGTGGTGTGAAGGACAGGGTGCAGGGAGGGGGTGAATCAGACCTTCAGCTTGGAAAATATGGGATGGAAGGAGATTTGAGGCCTCCTAGCCTCAGCCAGTGTTGAATCAGGGCCGCTCTGCTGGACTGGGGCTTGGAGACCTGGGCCTCAAGGGGAAAGGCAACTAAAGAGACTGCGCGACCCCCACCCAGGATAAACCTGCACCCTCTGCCAGTGCCGACCAGCACTGCTTGCTGGCATGACCCGCACACACGGGCAAGAGCTGTACCTCAGCTCTGGACACAGGACCAGAGAGGCAACACTTAAGCAGTAATCCTGGGCCAAACTGTGCCGTGGTGGCACTCACAGGAGCAGCCTGTGCATCCAGAGGTAAGCGGTAGGAAGTGCACCGGGTTTAGTCCCTTCAGGGGCGCTTTTGCAGTGCAGTATGGGCTAAGTCACGAACAGAAGTTGTGTTTCTGTTTGCAGTCTTTCATGAACATCTGCAATTTGACTTGCTCTGGGTTAACCTCATCACGTGCACCAAGCTATATTTTTAAACTGCGCTAAATTGGCACAAGTCCCCTGCACAGACCATCTTAAACCAGTTTCTTGGCACAGGCTAAATGAAAAGAAGCCACTTCAAAATCTCCTAAGTTCTGCAGAGAGACAAGACCTATGACAGAGATTATGATTAAGCCTACTGCAGCTTAATTTGCTTGGAAGCAATGCAGCTGCAGCAGTATTGAGAAGTTCAGAGGAGCCCAGTAGCGTGTACATCATCAGCAAAATGCTTGAGCTGAGCCTCTGCATGCACATGCTGGACATCAAAACGTTATCAGCGCTCTGAGAGTCTGGTGGTCAGGGATTAGCAAACAGTCAGAGGAGCTGATAACAAATTACAAACTTCATAGCAAAGAGTGAGTTAATTCCAGGCTGTCGTTGCTACCATCTGCACTTCCAGAAAGACTGTCAGACATTTGGCAACCAATCCTTCCGAGTAGCAAAGGCAGCCGCCGCGCCTTGCTATGAACTATAGAGCCCAGATTGTGAACTCTTCCCCACCAGCAGTAATCACCCAAGTCAGTGGATTTACTCTGGGACACGAGACAAAATCTGCCACTTTTAGTTACAAATACAAACCACAAAATTTAATCAATTATCTTGTAAAATATCCTCTGTGTAGATTACCATCTCTTGATTACTCTCTCAAAAAGAGACTTTTCTGAGCTACAGAATTCTAGAAATAGTACTTTCTAGGCAGTATGCCTTGGCTGGAAGTATTTTTGGCTTAATTAATGGCTTTAAAACCTGTGGTGATGTCCATAAAAGCAGAAGCCCTTACAAACACCAAGAGGAATAAGATGCTGAGAGCAGTGAAAAATCTGTGGAAGCAAACATGTCTTCTCACCACCTCTGAAAAGCAGATTTGCGTGATGAGTGCACTCTGAATACATCATGCCCATATTCCAACAGCAAGTCTTGCCTTCCCAGACAGCAAGAGAACTTGGGAAGCAGAAATAGGCTCAGTGCTGCAGAGCCAGAGGTGCACAGTCAGGCATTAGATCCCTGACCGTGAATTCCTCTGCCTGTATCCCTGAATAAATTTGCGCTCAATTTCTCTCTCACAAAATGTCTCCTTCTCTCCACGCTTTTTGCATACACTAGCCTTGGCATGCAGTCAAGAAAATGTTAACATCTCTGGCAAAAATCTACAGCCCCTTCTTAACAACATGTGCAATCCATTTCTTCCAGTCCCAATAGTATTCTTCCACCCCGCTACTCCCCCACACACGGACACTCATTTTTTTCATCCGTAGTCACCCTCTCTTCCTCTTCTTCACACAGCAAGACACATTCCAACTGTCTCTATTTCTCCATCTCTGTCTCACACATACGTCTTGCTGGGCAGAGAGCAAATCGGCGAATACAAGCTAGATATGGAAGCAGGGAGATACAAACACCGCCACAGTCTGGACTCTGTCTGGAGGGATTTCTAACTAGCCTGTAGGAGCAGATTTATGAGCCAAAGCATATACTTATCAATCAGCTGAACTGCTTGAAAGTAATTCTGCATTATCCTGGAGCTGGGCTGGGATTCATCAGAAGGAGCTAAGCCACGGGGTGTGGAAAAGAAGACTTAAGTTGCCTCTTAATAGCTGAAGTCTACGAGACCTGTACAGTTTTACCTGCGAGAAGGCATGGGTTGGTCTTTGGTTTTGGTGTAACGGCTGAAAAGAACGGGGCAGCTGGAAGCCACAGTGCCTTAAGGACATGCCAGGGTACACAGGCTACAGGCTCATCTATCCCGTAGTAACGAGTGATGGTTTTGTCTGTGCCCGCAGCCACTGAGGAGGCTCGTGTGCTCCTTCTTTTATTGACTTCTCAGTGACAGACCTTCAATCACCAGCTCAGCCAGCTAAATGAGCAACAGCATCGCGTGCTGCTTTGCAGTGCAGGGAAACAGAGCCAGGCACTGCCTTGTCCCTGTCACACCTTTCTGCAAGTCCCCATTGTCCAAAACGTGGAAAAATGTCTTTCCTAGCCTGGGATTTCTAGCTAAATCCTCCTCTTTTCGCTGCTAAGTAGTTCTACTTACAGTGATGGAAGACAGCCTTGGCTGGAAAAGTCGCACAACACACAGACACACAATGAAGATGGAGCCACGTGACAGTTTCACATGATGACAGCGCAGCGAAGAGATGAATTTGCACACAGCAGTCATGGAGGTGATGCAGGAGAGAGACGAAGAAAGCACAAAAGGAAATGGCGATGAGCAGGGCAGCAGCGAGAACCCTCCTCCCTTCTTCTCACATCTGAAGCAAAGACTAAATCAAACTGCAGCCATTTAGCACCCACAGCAGCTCCAGGTGGGAGGAACACCAGGTCTCTCTGTCCTCCAGAAAGAGCAGTCCCTCCCGCAGTGCCCCAAGTACTGCACTTGCTCATCTGACTCTTCCCCACCGGTTTCTGCATGGGGCTACTCCCGTTATCCTGATGTGTGTTAAGCAGCAGCCAGGGCCACACAGAGGATACCTGCAACTGCTACCACTGTCTCTGGCGATCCTTTTTGGAGGAGGTGAGCGGGACCTAAACAGTACCCAGGCATTGGGCTGGTTCTCTGACTAGAAGGAAGATGATGCTTTCTAAAAATGACTGTTTCCCCATTACGCCAGGAGAGTTCAGTGCAGAAGACTGTCCAGTTAGCAGGGCAGGTACCACTGTCTCCCCAAAAAGCACCGGTAGTGCTGAATAATTACTGAGGATGTAATAACGGCACCTACGTGGCCGCGCAGAGCACTCCTCACCTTTCCCTCCGGCTCACCTCAGGGCCATTAACATCCCCCCTGCCTGTGGGCCAGGGATGGGACTGCAGAGACTCCCAGGATGTTTTTAGGAGGCAGCACTGCAGCTGTAGGGCAGGTCACTGGATTTCAACCCACACATACCCCTCTGCTGCACTCAGCTGCTGTGCAATACCATGTGCCATCATCATTTCTCTTCCAGAGGGGGGTCCAGTGGGCAAGCGAAGACCCTCCATGTGTTATTAAACCTTACAGGTTTCTGACTAGCTTTCTGGGACCCCTGCTAGGCTCCGGAGATCCTGCTGCTCCAGCCCTGCTCTGTCCTGTCCTGTAGGCCACCCTCAGGAAAGACTCAAGGGAGTCTTTCCAACCGAAGGGCTTTGCAGCTGATGGTCTCTCTCATCTGATTGCCTGTAGGGTGGGGGTCCTTGGAAAGAAGAGCCTCCCCCCACCCCAGCAGCTACCCTGAGGAAAGCAAGCAGCATGCTCTGAGCCACACACACCTCGCCCTGACCGCTCAGCTGCTGTGGCAGCCTGACATGAGGGTGGGAGCGGGGGAAGATGGGGTGGTGGTGGGACCTGGAAGCTGGATTCCAGGGTCCACAGAGGGAGGGGTGGTGGAGCAGATGGTGGCCTCCTCACAGGAAGCCAGGGTTCCCTGTACAGCTTCTTCTGCCACCAGCGGCTGTAACACTCACATGCTATGGGGCGGCTGGACTTTTGTGTACTCACCATCTGCCAAGTTGTCTGAGTGCCAGAAGCTACTCATGTTAAACTCCAAAAGGAAGCTGTCAAAAGAGCAAGAACAGAGGATGCTTTTTCAGCAGCCTGGAAGGATGCAGGTGTCAGGGAGATGGCCCCGTCGCCCAGCGAGTATCAGTTCTAAAATGTTTACTATGAATTTGCTGGCAGTGGAAGTCTGAGTTGTTTTGGTTTTTTTTTTAATTTTTTTTTTCTTTCCTCTCCACATGACGAGAGTGTAGCTCTCTATCATGGGATTGGTACTGTGGAATAATTGAATGGGCTTTTACCTGAAGTGCGTACTGTGCGGAGGCCTTGTCAGTGAAGGAAGGACTGAGCAGCCCCCAAGGCTGGGAGAGGATTCAGTCACCATGAGACCCACCTGAGGAGCAGGCATGGGTGGCCAACAGGGAGCCCGTACACTGGCTACATGGAGGTAGCTGCACATCATGAATTATTCTGAATCACAGTCAAGCCCTAGGAGCTGGAATTTTTCCATACCTTGCCTTTTGCACACCCAGCAAGCTGAGCAGCGGCACTTTCACCCTAATTTGAACTTGCATTCCGATTCCCCCCAGCAGTTTGAGGTGAGCCTGAATCCAGAGCTTGACTCATGGCCTCCCCTCTCTCCTCCCCTGCCTGTCACTCAGACCTGAGCTCCCTGGCTTCCTTCCTTCAGCCCTCGCCCCCTGCAAAGCGAAGGTGTGCATTTGCTCATCACGGGCAAAGGAGACAGGCAAGAGGACTTCGCATCAAGGATCCGCACGGGGCCCCGGGAGACCCGAGTCCTATTTCTGACTCTGCCACTTTGTACTGAGTGACTTCAGGTAAATCCCAGACCCGCTCCAGGCCTCTGCCTCTCAAAATGGGAATAGTAATAGCTTTCTGTCTCCCAGGAGCAAGGCGCTGAGCTGAATGTCAGGAGAAGGCTGAGAGCAATGCCCTACGCGGGGGCCTCTGCTTGCAGCTTTCTCAGCTCTCACCCCCGTTGGTCTGAGCCTCCCAAACACCCCCATCTTTTGGTACTCACATGAGGAAATCACTTATCAGCCATTTCACTGCAGCTAGAAAGGCATAAATTGGCTGGAGAACAAAACAAGAAATGAGAAATACCATAAGGACCTGGTCAGAGAGTTTATAATTGTTATGCAGGACCCCACGTTTCAGACCAATTCCCTCCACTGATCAGAGCTCTTGAAGACAGGCTGGAAATTCAAGGTCTGAGCATCACTGGAAAATGTTCAAAATACATCAAAAGCCAGAGGAGCTGCCTTGCTACTAATAATATCTTCTCACCCCCTCCCCGTCAGGGTCAGGGAGTTTATCACAAATGTATGAAGGACTTTGAAGATGTAATTGCTTGATGATTTCTCTCCAGTATGGATGACCTTGAGAGCTCAGAGCAGGAGAGAAACACAGCTAAATGGGACACCACCAGTTTGGGATGCTTTTATATTCTGATAGCAAGTGGTGTTTCTGGGACAAGCAACAGCATTGCCCAGGATTTAGTATTATCTGCCATTGATTGATTATGCTTAACTGTGCTTTCATCCAGCTTTTCCTCAAGATGGCATGACTTCTATCATCTTCCTGCTTTTCAGCTACAAATTGGAAACCCAGCATTGTCCCAGGGACAATTAATCTGCAGAGTATCCTGCTGCTGCTTTTCTTCATGGTAACCATGTCTAATTTTCATCTCTCCCTCTCATAGTCATGCCTGTATCCTCAAAACCAAAACAGATGCAGCAGTCACAGGACACAAGACAATGTTCCATTACTGCTAACTGACTTAACCAAAATAAGTCAGCAAATAGTAAAAGGCACAGATGGTCGGGAATTTCACTGATTTTTCCTTTGAAGGATGCATATGAAAAATGGACTTTTTTTGGTTTCTTCCTTTTCGAGGGTTTTGCTAAGAGGGGAAAGGGAGAGATGAAGGCCGAATGCTCACCCTTTTATTCTCTTCCCCATTCACCTGTTTTTTGGCAGTTCGTATTTTGTGACATTTCTTTCAGTAATCAAAATTCTCGAGGATATGATCAAGCAAATATTTTCACTGCAACCACAATATTTTATCATCTATCCAGCTTAAGTACAGCTATTACCAAAACTGATATATTGTTAAAAATGTAACACATTATTAAAAAGTAATGTTTTGTTGAAAATTCTTTTACTGGAAAAAAACGACCATGTCATGCTGTAGGATGTACTTCCAGCACACCACATTTTAAAGTATCAAAAATGCAATCATAACAGCAATAAACACATCCCTGTTCAGTTTGAAGTGGCCTGCGTGTTGAGTAATTACTTAGTCCTGCCTGTTCAAGGCCAGGTTAGGAAGGTAGAGTGGGATTAGATTATTAGCTTTTATCAGACTGGAGAGAGGTTGCATTTGGGTACTGGCAAAACTATTCACTCTGATAGCTTGTTTCCCTGGGCTATCAGCGTTTCTCGGCAGGTTTAACCCCTTTCTGCGTTGCTCCAAGCCCACTCACGTTTCCCTGAGAGGCTGACAGCTTTCTCCCAGATGCTCTGTTCCCTGACACTGCAACTCTCCTCTTTGAGCTGCTGAGTAAAACCATGCCCTGTAAAAGCATTTCTGTTCATGTCAGCTGCAAGCTGGTTCTTCAGCTTCTAGGAGAAGCCTGGCATAGTCTAGTTCCTGTCCTCTCCCTGGTCCTTCCAATTGTCAGTGAGATCCTATACGCCAATAGAAAGCCACATTGGAAACTACTGTCAGTGGCCACCACTGCCTCAGAAATCTGCCTTAGATGAGTTTGGACATTCCCATCACTTGAAAGCAAACAGCTCCTAAGCTCTTTTGGGGACCATGCTACACCAAGGTGTTGGAGACATCCTAGGAGAAAGCCTCCACAGCCAAGCCCAGAGAGGGCTGCGTGCCGACAGATACATACGCTGAGCAGAGGCCGGGCACCGCTGTGGTGGTGGTGGGGTACTTTGCACATCGCTTGATAATCATACATGGTCACCCTGCAATCAACACAAAACAAGCAAGCAGTCAAAAGCAAGCAATGCAACTGCCTACGGGACACACACGTCAGCGCGCACTACTTTTTCTGTAAAAGTTTCTGTATGGGAGAACTAAAGCAGTGGCCTGCTTACATGTCTTTGCTGTTTGGTCAGGGCTGGATTTCACAAAGCGAGAAATACAGGCCCCGGATTAATGTAACTGGGTCAGTACAGGAGGAAATATGTCCCTAATTTCAGATGGTGAGTAAAGCAGGCTGTGAAGTGGAGAATTATAATTGTATCATCTACCTCAGGTCCCCCTAGTTTCTGTTTTCAAGCCACTGAAACTCTGAACTCTCTTTTGGCATGGGCTGGGGGAGTGGAGTGAGACGAACAGAGGTATTTTTAGGAGAGAGAGAAATGTGCTCAGCCAGCTGCAACACCACATCTGGGGGGCTCTCAGACAACTGCTCATAGAAAGGCTTTCCAAGTGGCAGGAGGAACTGAAGCACTTCACCCAAAACACCAAGAAGTGTTTCCCGTAGCACCTTGCCCTGGAAAAGATGGAGGAGCAGCTGCTTTCTGGCAAAACGGAGATCAGGAGTTACTGTCTCTCTGGGTGCTTCGCAGCAGGTGGAAGAGCAGGGGATGAGGAGAAACAGAGTGTGTGGTGACGATGGCTGAGCAAGTCAGGGGAGGGGGCAGGTAGCTAAAGGAGCTCTTGTAGCCAAACAAGAGAGCCACATGCACCTGCACGTGTATTTTCCCCTGCTCAGTGGTGCTGCTTAGGGGGACCGATAGGCTCTGACCCACACACCCGCTGAAGAAAGAGAAGTACAGTGCAGAGCTCCCCCACTTACCGCCTGAACATGCCCATGTTTAGCAGCTGGGTCATTACTGAGCCATCCACTGCACCAAAAAATTTTCCAGTCTGCAAGCACAAGAAAGGAAAAAACTAGAATAAACTGTCAATGGTAAAATTTCCAAATGCTCGATGGCTCCAGCTGATCCAGTCTGTCTGGAGCCCTACTACACATAATGAGTGTTTTATAAGGAGGTAATGCCAAGCTTTGTCCTTTGGCTGGCTGGAAAGCTTGAGGGAGGACTTCCTCCACCACCAGCTGGCATCTTGCACCGTTCTTATTGTGCTTGGAAATGATTTAGCCCATGTAAGTCCCTGAAGATCGTGACAGAAAAAGGCAGACTCTCAAGCTGCAGAGACCCAGGCACGTTCATTCACTGGCAGCCCGGGCTCTCCTGTGGGTTTTTGTGAACCCACGTTCTCTGGATCTGAATGCCTGAGTCTCTTCTGCTTGAGCCTCTCGGCTAGCCTGCGGCCGCAGTGGCTTCGGAAACCTCTGCTCTCCTCCTGCCCTAGGCAAACTGACTCACCAGGCGTAAGTGCGCCGTACACGTTTATTTAGGTAGCAAACACAATTTTACAACCCACTGCTGTGCAAGTTCTGAGCAGGCAGTAACGCAAATGACACAACACACACCGACCCATCCCTTTAGCTTACACACTACGCACTGGCACGGCCAGAACTGTGCTAGCACAGACTCCATCCTAGCAAAAGTTGCATTTGGGGGGCAACAACCCCCAAATCCCACTTGCATGCCTGGACTAAAAGCAGAGCTTATGGTCCTCTGGCCCCATTTATGTTTTGGAGTCGATAACCTCAAATACAGTCCCAATCCCAAATCCGGGAACTGCTGCTCAAAAGACTTCTTCAGACAAACAATGGTTCTGGCTTTCCTCATTACTAAACCATGACAAATCCATTGCAAAAATGCTTCGAATCTGCCAAGTCCACTGCTTTGTTTGCAAGCAAGTAAATAAAATACTCATAAAGAATAAAAGCGCAGATACGAGCTGTCCTCCATCTATTTTTCTGGCTCATGGGTCTTGACACAGTCAATACCTCCCATATGTTATGGAACTGTTCATGCAGTTTGGGGGGGCATTTTACTTTTCCACTGATAGGTTAGCAGTCATTTAGCATGTATTAGCAGATGACAGATGACTTCATTTATTTGAGTGGGGTATTTCCACTAAAAAAAACCAACCCTTAGGCAGATTTACCTAAGATCATATGGTAATCATCTAACAGTAGTGTTACATGGTTATGAGCCTCTTCCCAACAGGCTTTGGACAGTGTTTCACTGTATAAATCGATACATAACATAAACTCTCCTTCGAGCATTTAGGCTGTAATCGTCTCAGACATAGTCAAATGTGTCTGAGCAAGCGCTAACTTTTTTTTCACCTCCCTCGCTCTTTCAATCTGATTAGGGTGGTGAGGAGGCCAGCTGCTTCCATTTAATACCAGTCTGCAGCCCCAGCAGGAGCCAGCAGGATTTAACGCAGCGCAGGCTGCAGCTGGTGTGGCAAGGGCAGAGGGCCACCGCAGGACTGTAAATGGGGCCCACCCTGTCCAGAGATGCTGATGTCTGACTGAATTTCTCCAGGTAGGATGCCGTTCCTATAGGTACAAGTATGAGGAGCTATTAGCGTAATTGAGAGTAAGGCCTAGGGAACGTGTTCAGAAAAGCATCAGCAAACTGGCCTTTAACACCGAATCAGACATTTAAAGCTCGGTGCTGTTTTAGGTACCCTGTGCAGGTAGTAACACAGGAAAGCATCACTTGGCAGAAACCAAAGCGGTCCTGTACTGAAGCGACACTTGGCAAAGCAGCTGTCATTACAACCTGCTTCCTCCAGTGACTGGCTGCTGCTCTCCCAGGCATCCCTCTGCTGTGTTTCTCCTAACTCCCAGCTCTGGGCAGGTTTCCACAGGCCCTTGCAATTTCAGAGGCTCACGGCACAAAGCATCTCCTCTGGCACCCTGCGTGACACACGCTGTACCACATCCCCCTGCAGCTGAGAGCGCACAAGTACACATGCAGGCTATGCACAGGAAAGAGATGCATCCTGGAGCACACATATGGCTCACAAGATACATCACTGCTCACAGACATGTATGTATCCATGCTTTGCTGGCTCATTGAGCAATTTGTACTTTTGGCACACGCAAAAGCTGTAGACAAATGGGATCTGCCAAATGGGCCAGGCTTTGGGCGAGCGGGCAGGCTCCTCGCTGCATGGCTCAAACAAAGCCAGACCTTACTTCGCCACAAGCTCTGCCCGGCCCCAGTGGGATCTTGGCCTTTTAGCTGCCACCCTTCATCCTGTCCCTGGAGTCCCGCCTGGGCAGAGCTTGCAGATATACCCTGCAAGTTGCCTCAGGGAGAAGGTAGCAGTCCTAGAGAAAGAGGTTTAGTGAGCAAGGGGACATCTGGACGCAGCAGGCGGAGGGAGCTCCAGACCTCTGATCCGCAGCTGTGCCTCCAGCTGGCAGCAAAAGACAGCTAAAAACTCAGGGGTGGTCGTGGGGCCATGGGCAGAAACATAGCACCATAGCGTGGAGCAGCCCTCGCTGCAGCACAGCCTGGGCCGGCCACTTACTTTCCCTTCCTCCCCTGCCCTAGATCTCCTCGTCCTCTCCCTCACCCACTCCCTTCTCCTGCCTCTGGCTATTAACTCTTTGCTCCCTCCGTTATGAGTCTCAATGGGGGGATTAGCCTGAATTAAGAGATTACCCATTCTTCCCCAAGTAATCCTGCAGGGAGCTTCCAACGCTTCACTCATTAAAATCCTGAGTCCCTCTTTCTTCCACGTGGCTTCTGGCTGCTGGTAAGCTTCCTGGTGCCTTCAGGCAGAGGTTATTAGAGCTGATTCCCCATCCCAAGCCACTCTGGTGTGATCACCACGGGAAGGAGGTGAGGGCATCAGGCAGCCCTGGGCAGGCAGCAGGCTGAGAGCACTGTAAAGCATGGCAGCCCCAAGGGAGCGAGCAGAGAGACAAAGCAAAACATTTCAGAGCCCCCAGAACAGGTCTCCAGCACCAGCTGCTTGCCCAGGGGCTATAAGGACACAGGCACTTTGGCACCTCTCCACTATTCTTTTAGCTTGCACTTTGCCCTGGGAAGCAGGCGTTTTGGACATGAAAGTTCCTTGGCTGCCTTCCTTGGGGAAGTGGGGATGCACGTGGGGCCCTGCTTGTGCTGGATGGATCGCCTGTGCACCCTCGCTCCTTCGGCATCCAATAAGCTCCCCTCCATCCTGGCCGGTGGGGCAGAAGAGGCAGCATGTGGGCAGGCTGCCCTTCTCCCTGCTGCGGGGCTGAAATGCTGACCTGGGAAGCTGAGCCACTCTTGCTGGTCCTGGTGTCAAGTATGAGGCAGGGAGGGAGGGCAGCGAACTAGCTGACTTCTCCAGAAAGGCAAAAAACCCCTCAAAAATCCAGGTATGGCATTTTTTTTTTGCATTATGATAAAGGATGCACTGAGGGAAGAGCCTGGGATGGTGCAGGGCAGGCCACATAGCAGCAAGTGATCCCACACAGCAATATCCAGGTGGCAAGGCTATGAAACCCAGGGTATTGATTTAATGCCACTGCTGTCTTGAATTCCCTGTAGGGTTTAACAGTGTGGACACTGATGGTGCCACTGGGAAATAAAAGCAGTAACTGGAACAAGATAAAGAATTCAGAAGAAAAGTAGTGGTGAACTCTCTGAGATCAGGGGAGGTAACAGCTGGAGGAGATGACAGCTCTGGTGCCTGCCAAAATGCCTGATCTTGGAGGCATGCGGATAATGTTTATAATTTACCCAAATCCACTATAGTGCCATGTTTCTGCTAGTCACATCGTTCAGAGACAAGTTTTTTGAAAAACCCATTAGATGCAGGAAAAAAAGCCATAAGATGCAGGAAAAATACAGAGTTACAACCCCGGAGGGAGGTGCTGAGGATGAACAGTAGACATGGTACCTAAAGGGCATAGTTGCCTTTATCTATGAACACATGCCACAGGACTCAGTAAAGCAACTCTGAAAATGCCATGGCAGTCAGAGGAGGAAACAGTGACTCCTAAGACTACCAGCCCATCCCAAACATGCAGCAGGACCTGGCCTCTGAGAGTAGGGAGCCAATACAACTTTACAGCGTTTTCCTCCTTTATTTTTCAAGTTTTCTTTGCTTTATTTTGGCACACCACATCATTGAAGGGTCACTTTTACCGGAATATTCAGTGTGCCACGTAGGTCACTTTCCCAACAGAAAAGAGGTTGGTTATTCCTTGCAATATGCCCCCCGTGATATCTGTCTGTATCACGCCCTGGTGCCACTATGTTGCAGATTCATTTTGCTTTCTGAGTCTCAACAGTTCTCATCCTGGCCTCTCTGAACTTACTGTGTAGTGCCTGCAGAATTCACGATCTCACCTTTTTCTTTTGCCAGCCTATTCTGAATATGCTAACCAACACAAGTCCAGATGGGAAACCACGGGACTCATATAGCTGACGTTTTCCATCTAAATATCCATCTAAAAATTCCTCCTCTTTCTTTTCTGTCCCAGCTACTTTGAGATCAATGCCACTACTTCACGCTTCACTTTTTAACCAGAACTTCTTTAACAGCCTCTTGTAAGGGACTCTGTTCAAGGCTTTTAGAAAAACTGAAACGCAGTAGGTCATCCATTCCCCCTTATCTCCTGATTTACTCACACTTTCAAAGAACCATAGCTGATAAGATAGGTTTTCTTCCTTTATAGAAGCTGTCCTGCTTGTCCCAGTCACATCCATCGGGTGTCCTGTTACCTTATTTTTAATTTCCATTTCAACCTGTTTGTCACATCTTGAAGAAAGTAATTTCTGGGATTGGATCCACTGCCTTTTGGAAATACGCATACAGTATTTGTTAACTCCAGTACTATGGCAATTTTAATGAAGCTTCACACTTCTGTTAGTAACAAAACTGCTTCATTCCCATTTCTTCTATAAGCCCACTCTTGCTATTGACTTATTGCTTTGTAGTTTATGAGAGTGTTTCAACACGTCACTTTCTGACATTCAAATCTACGGCCTTTTATTATTTTGAAACAAATAGCTCTGTGGTGAGTTTACCGGAGAGCAGAAAAGTATAGCTAAACCATGCAGTGACTGGTAGTGTTGACTTTACCCAGGCTGCAATGGATGTCACATCACAAACCATGCCTCTTCAGCGCCCTAGAAATGGTCGTGGAGGCGCGGCAGCAGGAGGAAAGGAAGCAACTTTTGTTGCTTGTATTTTCATTACTACTCTGAGTCTTTTTCCTCACTCTTTTCACCTCTGTGAGTCCAGTAAATCTTCCAGTTCTTCAGGTGTGCTCCTGTTTCCAATTTGTTTAAGTGATTTTGTCTTCATTTTTGCCTTTGGCATTTTGCTCTTACCAGCCCCTCAGTTTCCTTCCCTGAAGAACGCCTGCTTTGACTTCAGAGGTGCTCAAAAGCGCTGCTCTGCTCCCCTCCCCTCCTTTCCTTTCCCTTCCCTTCCCACGTCAGGGCACGCACGCCTGCCTTCTGGGACCGTCTCAGATCATCTTTCAGTAGCACCTGCACCAAGGGAAAGGAGTCTAATAATTTCCTCACTTCTAGATAAAAAGATATTTTGACTAGTTCCTTCCTTATCACTGCAAACTCCTTCCTTACCTAGGATATGCTGTCACTCTGCAGGAGGCTTCCCCCTCACTACACAGCTGAATTTAATTATACAGCAGCCCCCTCCCCCTTATTACACAGTTGAACTTCATTTGTTTTAACCAGCTCTGGTGGGTTATTTAGGAACAAGCCAAGCACATTCTCCTTCTTCTCTTCTGCTCTCTTACCTCTGCAGGTCTTTTGGAAACAAGTATAAAGCCGTTATTATCAATGAGGAAGCAATTCAGAATCTGCAGAGATGAAAGAGAAGCAACATTAAAGACAGCTTTTTCCATGGTTGTCTGGAACGTACCGCTGTGTGCAGGATGGAGCGGTGTGGGCTTGTGCTTATGGCAACAGCCTTGGCATTTCCATGTGTAGTCCCACGGCTCAGCTACCACGGGTTTTAGACAATTGACTTTTCCCTCTCTGCCTCTGTTTTGAGGCATTTAGTTTGTGAGCTTTCCGTGACAGAGATTGTCCCTTGCCAGGGCTGGGTGCAGGCCTAGCAGGCTCTGAGCCACACTTAAGAAGACAAGACACCCTGCAGGAAGCAGCAGGATATTTGGAGAGCACTTCTCTTTAATAAAATGGCATCGAATGCTTGCCATCTTCAGATTTCAGAGTTTTATAACCACTCTTGAAATAACATTCACCTCACCACTGAGTACCAGTGCTGGTCTTATTTTTATTTTGCAGAGCAGAAAATGGAAGCACGGAGTTTAGATGAAAACCTTTAGGTCTCACAGGGAAAAACTAGGATGCAGAGGAAATCCTACATGAACATGGAAGGAAAATTTTCTGGTGATCCCACTCTCCAGGGCAGAGGAGCTCCTGTCCCAAATATGCCTGAGACCAAGGCTGAAGCAGTGGCGTAAATGCAAAGAAGGGTGCCCAGCACGCGTGGCATGCTGACACCCACTCTCTTTGGCAGACCTGGGATGCCAGTGAGACAGCCTTAGAGGAGATAGACTCTCCTTAGAGCCACTGGCTGGAATCCCCATGCCCCTGGCCAGGCTAAGCTGACATCTCACAGCTAAGGGGAAGACCTAAACTGCAGGTTTGTCTCAACAGCATGAGGTCCTGCCCCAGCTGTGCAACCTCTTGTGAGAAAACGACCAGCAATACCCGATTTTGGGGGAGACAAAGACCTCCACAGAGCAGGTAGTCAATCACACCTGTCACAGGTACAGAGAAGAAATCTGGGCAACTTACATCATCCTGACAGCTTAGTGGACAGGGACCGTCCAAGGCACTGCACTGGAAAGGAAAAGTGGGGCGTTAACCATGGCGTGTTACAGTCTTACATCATCTTACAGTCTCCCCCCTGGGACTGCTGAGCTAAAGGTCTCCATACCAGCATCCCATAAATCTCTGCAATTTAGCTGGTGTTTCCACCAAGACGAGCTCTACAGCATGCACAGCTACCACCCCCCAAGTTGGCCACTCAGCGGCTCTGCATACTCCGCACCTCTCTGAGCAACATCCCTTTTGCGGAGGGCTCTGATCCTGCCCCTACCTCCCTGCCACGCTTCCAGCAGTACCTACGCACTTTGAGCAGAGGTGGCACTTGTGAAGAAAGGGGGCAGCATCAAGCTCTCTGCCTGAGAAAGCAAAGGTTATTGTGCACCAGTGAGAAACAAGCATGTATTTCAGCATCTGCTAGTATCCTGACTAAACACATGGCATGGTATTTTAGATCAGGATTCTTCTCAGGCAGGGATTTTTTTGCTGTTGTTGCTGTTGGTTTCTTTATTCTCCAGACAGCTAATGATAAAATAGGATGTGAACGGTGCTCGTGTAGCCCAAGGCACCATCCATTTGTTTCATTTAGGATTTCTGTGTACCGGACTTGACATGTGTTTCACAACACTGCACTGGGTGGGGACATGAGGGGTTACGTGGTGAGTAACAAAGCCCTTCAGGTGCTTATTGATTTTGTAATTGTTCCGAGTTTGTCACGGTTGCATGTGTCTGTCTCTTTGTGTTATTTTTCAATGCTATTTTCTCTACCAGCAGAGGGAAGAAAGCTGACATGGTGTTGCCATTTCTGTACACGGGGTCCCCTTCCTGCCAGAGTTTTTCTAGGGTCAGGGAAGGACACCGGCATGTCGCGTGGCCTGTCTGCTCTCAGCCAGCTGCCCTTTATTTCCACAGAACTGTTATACATAAACCCCAGCTGCCTTTCTGGATGATTCGCAGAAACAAGAGGTGAATTTGCCATTTCAAACCACAAGACAACCATTACTTTCTGTTAGAATTTGTTTCTCCTCAAGAGTTTTGCAGAACAAAACCAATAGTTTCAGGTTTCCATCCATCTGCTCAACTTCAGAGAGACTCAGAGGTGCCTGATTTTGTTTCAAGCCCTGTGGCTTTGCAATATCGCATGCTCATGCTCCAATCCTGACTGACTTTTTGAGGCTCTAGGGATGATGGTTTAAAAACATCCCTTTACCCACAGTTGCAAGCATCACCTCACTCTTGCCTCACCACAAAACAGCATTGGGTTGTTTTGTCTCCCTGGACGCACGCATAGAGGTGGCCCGTACTTCATCCCTGGTGGGTTCCTTCCTTTGGTCAGCAGAGAAATATGGCCACAACGAACCACTATTATGGCCTTGGGGATAACAAATACAGAGCCCAGAGCTTGGAAATCAGAACAGAAACCTAGGTGAACCAGAGTGGTTTCCTACAAGAAGGACCCATGTCTCACAAGATCTTCCTCAGCAGTGTGAGGACCGAGTCTCGCTGCCACTGCTCTTCCAGACCTGTAGAAGCTCCAGCAGTGCCCGGTGCCGGGCTGGCCATGCAGCAGCGGGACTGCGGTGAGAAGCCCGATCTGAGAGCATCAGCAGCTTGCAGGGAGCTCCTGAGGAGGGGGCAGAGCTGAACCTGAGCTCCCTGGTCACTCTGAGACCACATCTACTGCCTTACGGGCACAGCTCCCTCCTCAGAGACCAGTCTGCCTCACAGCATCCTCCTGCTGTTGGTCAGGTCTCTGAAATGCTGCGACCCAGAGTACTTTCAGCTTTGCCAAAGACCCTTAATTACTGTGAAGACAAACACAGCTTAGGATAGGCTTGGACCGTCTCCAGTGGCTACAGACAAGGGACAGTGCCTATAATACGCTGGCACACAAATGACACAACTATGAAGCCAAGCTGCGGTGAGGCACGCCGGGATGCCTCCCCATCCCCAGCTTTTGTCTACTTACATCACTGTCATTGGGCTGGGAGATGGGAGGCACAGTGTGGACATCCAGAGCGGCACAGCATGCGGTGAAGCGGGAGAGAGAGAGAGAGAAAACAAAATCTGTTAGTCATTCTTCTGTCAAACGGCGGTCGTGTCCTGGGGAACCATACGCAGGCTTTTTTCATACCAGCACCTATCAGGGCCGCGGCATGCAGGCACTTGGCATGCAGGCCTCCTTTCAGCTTCTTTAATAAGCCCTGCCGGTTTCACTTAACGCCCATGCGGGCTTGTTTGTGTGAGAACTGCCTGGGTATGGCCCTCAAGAGATTTTTTAAAATGAAGCTCTCTGCTGATGCTACAGAATGTGCTCATGTGCTTTGCCTAAGTCTTTTTAGCTCGGGTTAGGTTTACGTGATCTCCCACCTGTGAGGATGCTCCTGCCACCGCGGCCAACTCTGGGCTTTTCCATTTCCCACGTGTGCCCACTACCAGTGAGCAGCCCCCTGCCCTCCTGTCTTCTCTGTCATCCTCGTCTGATGACAGTTCCTTCTCCTGACAGCAGAGCCACTTCTGCTGTCTGCTGCTTCGGTCCCATCAGTCTCACCCCTCCAGTATACCTCCCCAAAAGCAAAGCCTGGGAGGAAAGCCCCTGGGTGGTAAGGCAAAGGTGTTTCACTTTTCCTGCCTCTCAGACTGGGGGGCTGTTTTAATTATTCCATTTCTCTCAGTCCAGCAAGCATGGCCAAAATTAGGACAACACTGACAGCTTATCCCTGGAGCAAGTAATTTTTATTTTGGCAAGCTGGTAGCATTTTGTTACTTTTATCAAGATGATAAGAGAGGGCAGTAGATTCTTTTTCCATGTGCCCAAAATTGCGGATTTCCATGAGGTTTCCGAAAGGCTGAATGAGCACAAAACATATTTCCACAATTAAATGTGTCATATGCAGCAGAGCTAATGCCAGGCCAGGATGCTGACACTGTCAACATGGCATTTGTGGAACAGACTCACGGCTCACATGGCATTAGTGCCGTCAAAGGATTACAGAAATGTGTGACTTCAAACTAATCTACTTCATAAATCTTTTAATATGAATTTCACAAAAGCCCTCATCAAAATGCCATCATATGATGTAACATAGCATCGACCTAAGTGACAGAGCATTAAATTGTCTCACTGCATGACTGCTGATGGTCCTACCTGTTGCATGGCCATCCAAAACTTGCGTTGGAGCAACTCCAGCTTAATTTGCACACCCACCGCTACGGGAAACAAAAAGGGGGGGAGAGGATGAAAAGAGGAACGTGTGAGAGAGAGAAAGGCAAACACAAGTTAGGAAAGGAAGAGTAAATATTTGCCTGAAGTGATGGGATGGAAATTGCAATTGCAACCTGCTTCCAAGTGCGAATGATAAGCACAGGGGGATCAGCGCTGAGTCAGACTGCCAAGTGGGAATCAGAGGTTTAACAAGGTAGAGCAAAAGGGGACACTGACTACTGTACCAAGGTACTGACACCTCCCTCCCACTAAACACTATTGAGCTACAAACAAATTAACAGCAACAACAACAAAAACCCCACCAAAAAGCCCTCAGGAGAGCGAGCGCGTGAGCTTTCATCTTTGTCTTTTCTAGATTTGCCTGGCCAGAGCAGTTGTTTCTGATCACCCCAGCCTCATCTCCTGCACCACGCAGCATCAATCAGAAATAAAGTAGGCCAGTGTGAGGAAGGGATTCATTTGAAACCCCACCTGTCTCAAGGGGAGACCATAGTGATTTAGATTTCTCCTAAGCCACTATGAAAGCACAAAAATATGAATGCCACTTGATGGAAAAGTGTCGATTAGAAGTAGTGCTTCGTTACCCCGTCCCAGCCTAGTGCATGCTCTGCTAAGCAAAAGTGTGCGTGTTTCTTAATGAAGTGCGTCGTAATTTCTTGGCTTAATTTCTCTTCTATTCCCACCATCATGTTCCTGAAGTAAGGCACAGCTCCACAGGAGAAGAAACGGTGCAGGGTCTCCCCGGCAGAACAACCGAGCTGTCCCTGGGTAGGCTGCCTAAAAGCACACGTAATAACCAGCGCAGTCGTGCGCAGCCTGGCATGGTGACGGGGAGCAACGGGGCTGTGTGTCAACTAATTGAATCCAAGAGCTCTGCAGGAATTACAGCCTCAAGCGGGACCTTGAAATAGAATATAAAGTGCAAGTGAGGGAGAAAAAGAAGTATGGAGAGGGAGAGCCTGAGCCTTTTTTCACAAACACCAATATCGGGCGGATGAAGTGTTGCTGTTTCTACAGATTTCCTCTGAATTAGCAGGAGCTTCAAAGGGGGGAACAGATCCTTTAAATCTGAATCATGCCGTGTGGGTGCTTTTAAGTTAACAGTATGATCTGATGCTCTAATTCAGATGGGTATGAATTAAAACTGGAGTATGCAATGGTATATTTTCTTGCAGTATGTACAGAGACCCTTGGCACATGGCATTAGCTCTGCCTTTTATACCAGTGTCCTTGTCACATTCTCACTGCTGAGACATCTTACAAAATCCCATTCACAGGCGCATTTCTTATCCAGCTCTCCCTGCTGTAGACTGAGTCTGACTGCCTGTATGTGGGGGAAAGAAATGATTTTGTAGAGCTGCCTTGCCCTAAGCAAGAGCACGAACCAGACAAGACAAAGAATGCAACCAAAGGAGGAAGGATGGGGCTGAGTCCAGCCCGAGTGAAGATTCATCAGCTTGAGCGGGGCTATCACAGGCATGGTTTGGTTTGGTGCCCCTGCTGACAAATCGGCAGTCCATGACAGAAGGCAAACGGTGCTGTTGCTGCTGAGTCCGATGAGGCCCACACATCCGATTTGGTATGTAGCTTTAAATAAATTCATCGTTATCCTTTAAAACCATCTCAAGAAAGAGTTATTCCCCTTATCACAGCAGATCACATCAATGGGACTGAGCATTAGCCAGGACATATAGTTTTTAATGAGACTTGAAGAGGAGTTGATACCTACATAACTGACCTTGCAATGCACAGACTTACTCAGTGGCTCATGTTTCTGCCAGAGGGAACATCTAGCCTCAAATTGTTCTTCAAAGGGAGCTTAGCCCCTGGCTGTAAAACCTTGCCTCTGCCCAGGAGGCACGAGTAGCACGTATCGAACTTGGACAGAGTTGCCTGCAACATGAGGAAGGAGAGTACCTGGGGGCTCACACTGGTGGCCAGTGGCAGGGGCAGAAAGCAGAGTCTCCCAGCTCTTTTCTTCCTCTTTCCACATTGCTCACAGCCATGTCTAACCTGTCTGTGCCATCTGTCAGCAAGCCTTGTCCTTTGGATGCAATCTTTGCAGCCCTAACCTCTCCGCAGGGCTTGTGCTTACTCATCTTCTCTGCACTAGCTCGCTCTTTCTTTCCCAGTGGTCCAGCACACATTTCTAGCTATTCCCCATGGAGCTGTGGTGAGCGCCACTCTCCTCCTCATGTCATGGCACAGTCTGAGGAGGTCACTGAAAGCAAAGCTGGGGGCTATCCTGCCTTGCAGCCAGGTTTGTCTGTCTGGATGGTACCCATCCCAGGGAACCATACTAGAGGGATCGCTCCATGCTCCTGCCTGGCAGCACCACTCCTTGCCAGTCAGGGTGGATTGGCAGCTCCTGGCAAGAACTCTGAGAAACTTCCACGCATTCAGTTGACCTGAGGAAGACATGGGAGCTGAGGAGAAACAGGCCACAATCGCCCTCCTAGTGCTAGTAACAAATAGTCCCCTGGGTGCCTTCAGGCTGTTGGTGAGGCCGGCGAGAAAGGAGGAAAGCAGTGATTCAGTCTGAGGTAAGGATGATGCTGCAGCTCAGTTCAGAGGGAGAAAACTGGAATAAACCCCTCTCTGGTTGTTCTGAAAGAGGATGCTGCAGGAACGGGAAGATCTGAAGTCTGTGAAATGATGAGCGGCTCTGGTGCGCAGCACAGCAATGACCGCAGAGTCCTCGGAGAGACCATGGCTAATAGTTTTATTCCTACTAATGTGCAAACAACCTGTGCAACTGTAGCATGCCAGGAATGAAATAAAACACAAGGACAAGCAATGCTGCACACCTTGCATAGTTAGACATTGCTTCATCATGTCGATGAGCTACCCAGACCTGTGCATGACTTCCCACCAGCAGGCACCCTGCCTGCAAACCCAAGCAGTGCCCGCTGCATGGCTGCAGCTGGCTTTCTCCAGGGTTGCGTGCTGCCATTCACTGTGGAGATAAGAGCCTTCCCCTCCACCTGTTCATCCCTCCGTTGAGCGTGTCTGCCTCATTAGCTCATCCTCTGCTTGTCTCTCTTTCTGTCTGCCTTCCCTGGCTTCTGTCTTAGATTATCCATATGCTGTTCTCATAAGGAGCTTTCCCCAAGATATAAATCTTGGGCCTGCCGCATGACAAAAAGGCGTAACAAAGAGTCGCAAGACTGCATCCTGTGGAGTGCTTATCAAGATGTACCTTGCCATTCACAACCTGTTTTCGTGGCAGCCAGTCCAATGGTTAAATAAAACCTGTGATTCAAATGGAAGAAGGTGCCAGAGCAGCAGAGCAGCCCTGCCCGTGCCGTCCATTTGCATTCCCCATTTCCTGTTTCTGAAATATTCCCATTTTCCCTCTCGAGCCAGCAGCAGAGCTGCCCCACTCAAAATTTTACTTGAAGTCCCCTAAAAATTCTACTTAAAAAGTAATTTCCAGGCAAATTAAAACAAACAAAAAGCCCAAACCAAGGGCAGCCTGCTTATGGTACTGGACCTGACAGAAGAGGCAGTTCAAGGGGAGCAGCAAAAGAGTAATTCTTGTAAACACGAGCTACCGAGGTCCTCGGCAAGCTGGAGGAAGGCAAGTGAGGGGTCTGATTTTGGGCGGGCAGGCTGCAGAAGCCCACGGGAGAGCACAGAGGGAATCCTGACAGAGGCAGTGGGCTGGATTTGGGTGCTTACCGCACCCCTGTACCAGCAGGCTGTGTCGAGGAGGTCAGGGGATGCCTCTGTCACTGCGTGGATGTAACTGCACCCGACACTTGCCACACACCAAATTCAGGGGATCAAACTGTGGGTGCAAATGCTCCTCTCTTTCACCCATTCCCCTCATCCCAGCTACCCCCTACCAGCACTCCAAGTTCTCCCTGAAGCCCCAAGGAAACAGACTACCAGGTTGTGCTGCATCCAAGCAGGGAAGCGCTCCAGCAGCCCGTGTGCTCGGCTGCTGGGGACGCCCGCTGTGGCCGGGCAGGATGCGGCCAGCCCACGGTGGGCACCTCTCGCTCAGATCTCTATGTCAGACGCACTGCCTCCCCCCGCCGTCTCTGGAGCACGGGTGGGAAGGGGCTGCCTTGCTCCCAAGCCCCCCGGTTTCTCCCCCGCTGCCTCCCCTTCGCAGCAGCTGCTCACCTCACCCCTATACAAAACCCAGGGCTCACCGCTTCTCCTCCTCACGCCTTTCTCTCTGGGTTTATTGTCATCAGCCATAGCAGGCAGGGGAGGGATGGAGGGAGGGGAGGAGGCGTTCGGCTCGGTGCCTCCTCTCATAACCTGTGCCTGACCAATCTGCCTCCCGAGGGGCTGCGGGGAGCTCCCCCTGCCCCGGCATCTCCTCAGCCCTCCTCGAGCCCCTCGGTTCCCGGCACCCGGAGAGGGATGGCGGCAAGCAGGGGAGGAGGGAGAGAGAAGGACTGACAGCAACAGCCCTTTCTCCAGGATGGGCTGAGAGAAATGAAAACCTCACGAGCTCCTTCCTCTGGGTGTTTCGGAGCACATCCTGCGTGCCTGGCGGGGTGACTCCTCTGCACTGTGTGCGCTCCTGTGCGTGTGCTGCTGCCATCGCAGATGTACCCCCAGCTGTCACTTCACTGCGTGCAGTCGCTCCCTCTCCCGCCTCTCTCTCTTTCCC